TTTTTTTTTTTTTTTGTCAATTTTATTTAATTAAATAAAAAATTAAAACAAATACTATTTATTCTATTTCATTTTTTATTATTATAATGTCTCACACTCTCACTAACATAATTCAATATAAAAATTAATGATAATAATAACAATTATTATTATTATTATTAGACAAAAAACCCTATTTATCTAAAAATTAAAAAGTTTGTATATTTTTTTTAGATCATTATTATTTTCCTAAAAAACCCCCTATAATAATATTATTATTATTATTATTATTAATAATAATAATAATAATTAGGAATTGAGCACTTGCCCACATCGAGTATCATGCCAAAAAGTATGAAATGTAAGTCAGAATATTGCTAGCACGATATTTAATATAACAAGTAAGATGATCAACACTGAAATGTTCACAGATATCTTGAGTAAGAGTAAGTAAGATGAAGTTGTTTGGTTTCTTATTCGAGTGTTGCAAGATCTAGTATGGTGGGTAGACATGGCCAAGGGCCGCCAAAACCCGGCCCGTTGACCACGGGTCTGGGCCCGGACCGGATTCCCGAAGGGTAGTGTCAAGGTCATCTATTTCATGACCCGGTCTGGTCAAACCCGTTCACCAAAGGTCTGGGCCCGGACCAAATTTCCGAAGAGTAGTGTATAGGTCCGTGCCGGGTCCAAGTCATTGTTTCGAGCCCGCCGGGTCGTGACCCGGCCCAGGTTTTGGCCATGTCTAATGGTGGGTTGATTTACGTCTATGGTTGTCTATAGTGGTTGGTTTCTGAATAAAATTATGTGATAAACTTTGATTTCATGCTGTGAGTTTATTTTCTCATTGTAAATGTTAATTGTTTACAGTGTTGAGCAACAAAAGCTAACCAATCACCTAATCAACGCATCGCACATCGTGTAATTCTTCGTTATGTTTGGAAAAGTTTCCACTCGAGAAAGCCTCTCCACCTCCCTCGACCTGTGACAGCCTGCACGTTGCCGCGCGGGCTTCCTGGCCCGGTTCCCCCATCCAGCTCCCTCTCTTCAACTGCAAACACGTCGCGTTCTAAGCCCTTATGTTACATAAGGAGGCCCGACTTGGTGATTTTTCTCAAGCCCCTCCGATCTTACGTTTGAATTTGGGCTTTTTATTTCAAATTTCTCTTTGTTGGTGCCTGCTTTTTCTGTAGGAATGTTCGTCTTGAGTATTTCTGCTTCTGTTCTACAACCTGCTACAATGATAAAATATGATAAAATAATAAAGCAGTTCCAGCTGATTTTGTAAGCCTGTCTCATATTATTTCATTGTTTTTTTAATCATAACCAAATTATAGAGATTCTCAAAAAGATGTTCCGTCGTTAAGAATTTGCGTTAAGAAAATCCAAGATCTGAGGACTTGTTATCAATCAACACTGTGATCAAATCTCATGGTCGTTCGAAAATTGTACATTCATCAAAAGCTGGAGAAATTGTTGGATTCTCTTCACTTTTTTTCTGCCATTCGGATCTTTAGGCCAAAAAAAGGAGTCAATATGAGCAGCAAGATTAATCCCCAAACCTGTAGAAAAATCAGAGGATTTAGGATCTGTGACATTACTTTTGGAGCCAACCGAGGCATCTGGAAATTCATGTCGATTTTCAGAATCGGCAGATTGGAATCAGCCTCCCACCTAGAAAAAAGCTTTGAAAGAGCTGTCAGCTGGCTGTTCTTTGGACAAGTCAGATAGAATATCTTTCTGTGATTTAAGAAAGAATTTATTTGGAGCCACGCTAATTAACCTCAAAGACCCTTCATAACGTTCTGAATTGTTCTCCGATAGAATAGTTTCTTGCTTCTCTGTTTTAGCTGGCCTTGATATCTTAAAATTTAAGAATTCGGACAAGGGGGTTAAAGATTTGGGAGAGTTGTAGCCTTGATTTTGCTCCGTTTTGTGTGTCTGATCCACCATTTCCTGCAAGGTGATTCCAATGTTAAAGATAGTTCATTTTCATCCAAAATGACAGATAAAAAAAAAACCCAAACATGCTGCTGTTTTCTATTCCATTTCCTCATACGACTAGCGGGAAATCAAGGTAACTTAGAAACCTACAAGGGAAAAAACAAAATAAAATTCATTTTTTTTTTCAACAACTACAACATAGCCTTTTTGTCCCAAGCAAGTTGGATAGGCTAGAGATGAAACCCAGGAGAACCAATGGTATTTTTTTTTCCCACAGACAATTTTTAGACGAGCATATGTTATAACCTTTCTTTCACTTCGCTTCGCTTCGTTTGATCAGTTCGCGCATATTCGCCATTTTCCTCACAGGCCTTCCTAAGTTCCTATACTCACACAGTCAAACTACACTCAAAGAGAAACTCACCCAGTTCCCATGGCTAGTGATATATCACACAGAAAATGAATATCCAAAATAATACATACAACTTTCTCTTGAATACATTCACACACTCAACAACACATCTAATTCACTGCAAGTGCAAACCCAAGGAAATTAGAAGCTGGATCACAACTAAAATGCAAAAAAATCTTAAAATTTGCATAAAACAACATCATAAACACAACGAAGCAGTTCCGAGCTGAAGAAAATTAATCAATGAAACCCTCACCGATCCATCGAGGCGGAGGGAGCGGAGCAGCCACTGATACCCGACGGTGGAGGTGAAGCTGATGGGATGCGAAACGACGCCGTCGTGGGGCGGCAGGCCGCAGTACGCGCAGATGATGGACTCCGATCCTCTG